GTCCATGTATCATATTCTTCGCCACAACTTCATGCAAAGCATTGTCGACGTCGGCGTCAGGTAATTCAGCGCATATGACATCGTCGATTTCGTTCGAAGTAATCTCGTTATAGAGCCAGATCAATGCATGTGCATGGGACAGTCCCCGCTTTTGCCGTTTCAGCTAATACATCCAGCGGCGCACAGACCGAACCATCTCGTGTTTCACCATGAAGTTCATCAGCAATTGCAGTTTCTTCCTGAAAATACGTGCTGTGATGTCATATCTATTCACCGGCGATAGCCCAGGAAGTAAAAGCTAATAAATATCCCTTCAAGCTGGATTGCATGTGAAGGTTATGAGTAGGTCTGGACGCCCGCACTGACAAACGTAAGCAATTGCACCTTGAGTGTACTCGAACATATGACGTGAACTGTCTATATATGTGGATGACAAGATCGTTAGTCTTACAACGTTATTTCTATTACCATCGGTTACAACTGCATCATGCAAATTAATATATTTTTCAGAGCGCAGCTTGGTCTGATTCAAGCGAATGAAAAGCAGGCGTTCAGTTTTGATTTTTGCATACATATCCACAATACAGTGGTGAAACAATTGACGACATTTTAAAAGGGGGATTACTTACAATCTGTCGAATCATAAGTCGGTAGGAGCAGTAGTTCATTGAGCCGCATTTCATGTGCGTTACCTCGTCACTGACTGGATTTATCATCCTAACGTTGAAGTGATATCCATCGGCACCATCCCGAAAAGTAAATGGATACTGTGTTGAAATCGGTCTCCGACTGTCGGTATATGTTGGATGGTAAAATCGTTAGTCTTCCACGGTTGTTGTCGCACCGTCGTTCACAACAGCATCGCGCAAATGAATGTGTTCTTCAGAGCGCAGCGTGAACGCTGAGCACGGAGTCGTGTTCGACGCTGGCCTGCTGTTCCTCGCTGGCGCCATTCGGCCACTCCCAGCTGGCTGTGTTCACCCTGTTGCTGAACGAAGCAGGCCTGAAGCTGCAGAACGCGGTAGCCGCGACCGCAACCGGGCTTCCGCAAGCCGAGCTGCACAATACTGAGCTGATATTGGGTGACAGCCCCATTATGTTGTGCCGGGGGGGGGGTCTGGTGTTAATTGCATCCAGCACTCACCCCCCAGAATTCCCGAGGCAGCGATTACGGCCTTATTATGTGGACTGTGGGACAATTTTAAGTGGCGTCCAGGTGTTGCGTGTTTATTTGCCCCAGGGGTGGTTTGCTCTGGCGGCCCATATTGCATCGGCCCAGAGAGGGTGGCGAGCCTGCTCAAGTGCCTGCAGGGTGGGTGGTGGGGTGAGCGCGGCTGTCGGGTGGAGCATGTGCGTTTGAGCGAATGTCGGTCAAGTGGCCACGGTCTGGGCGCACATGTGGCCGCGCGGATGTAGGTCAAGTGGCCGCAGCAGGTGGCGTTGTTATGCCGGAAAAAGTCCAGTTTTTTGCCCATCACAGGCGTACCGTCGGCATAATTACACAACTGAACAGACCAAAACCCGGCCCTATGCGCGGGTCGGGTTGTGTCCAAATTTCAGCGCAATCGGTGCAGTACTTTCGGAGATTAGATATAACACAGAAAAAAACCTTCCATTTTTATATATATAGATAAATCGGATTTAACTGGAACCGAGTGAAGTACTCACATCTGAATGAAAATTCGAAGCTCACGGATGTTTAGTGACGACATACAGCAGAAAAAAAGTGCTAACAGTCTCATGGGGACACTGTGGGACAGATTTATTTTAGACTTACTCCTGATTATGATCGGTCCACTTCATTACTTTCAGGAGGCCGCTGACAGACCGTCGGTTGGCGTTTACTTCATATTCGGCTAGGCAATCGGCAGTTCTGAAGGCGCCTCACGGTTGCATATTATTCGAATAAAGTTTATGAACTTCGTAGTAATTATTCAACCAAGGATTTTGTTTGCAGTAACTTTACGGGCTACCCTGATGTAAGTTCTTGTTGGCTGCTGTTAGCTCAACACTTATAGTGCCGTCCGGACATCTAACGGTATGCCGATCATTATTATTTAATGTACCTGTTTTGCATGCATTTAAGAGCTTCTTCGAAGGTTGGAAGTTCTTTCTGCATTGGTTTGAACTTTTGCAGACGTACATTCTCCTACACGCAGTCGTTTATATATGAAAAATAGGCTCTCGTGCTCCTTTAAATTGTAACCCCAACAAGTAACTGCAATAGACTTGGTCTTATAACGGTAGTTTATTTTCGTGAAGCTAGTGTTAACTAGAACTTGAATAAAAAATTTTCTCCGGGATTTCGTCTTCCCTAGTATGAATTGGATGCTTACGACCGATTACCGCAGTTTGACTTGCTTTCGCATGTCCACAGGTTATGTGACATGTTCTCTTAAGGAGGCTGGCTCCTTGAAGTGCCCTTGACGTGAGTATAACTAAATCATAATCAGTGCGCTTCTCCTGCTTTGCCATTAAGTGTGTACTCATGCTAGTTTGATTGTTGCACAAAACGTGGTACACAGAGTTGTAGTTAACAAAGCAAATATCGATGCTGCCGTTATAGCGGAAAACACATATACTCGATATGATGTAAGGCAAACTGCTCAGAGCTCATTTCAGTGAAGCTTGAGAAGAATGCGCTTGTGTATTTGAATTCCCTGCCTTCGAACACAAATCGGAAGTATCAGCAATAATTTAAGAAAATTGTGGTGCCGACTGGAACCAGATTGTGTTTCTGTGGATTAAGTATGTGCATGGTCAACTTGCTGCTACATATCAAGTTTCCGAAGACGAGAATTGAGAGACTGAGGTTACCGAAACCTATCGGTCTCCAGGCAGGCTACTCCGAACTTCCGCCACAGAATTAAGAAGTGCTCTTTGCACACGTACTCTGAAGGGATACATGCAGAGTTTTAACACAGCGGCCAGCTGAAATAAATCGCCGCCAATGAGGGCACAATCTATCACACGCAAAACATGGAATGTTTGCATTGATTAAGCGATTGTTAAACTCTCAAAATTGCGACAGACGGAAGATTCCGAAGAACAAAGTCCACGTAAAGGCCATCTGAACACAGTGGCGGCGGAGTTTATAGACAACGGCTATCACAGCATTTACACTGTAATTTTTAAGAAAAGCGAAAATGCCCTTATAGGGTCAAAATAAAGTGAGACCTAAGCATGAAATTGGTTTTGCGGGCTACGGAGCTTTAAATTATGTATAGAAATAAACCGCACACTAAAACGACCGTCGGGTCATTTTTCAAAACAAAGGGTCCTTGGGCGCGCGTCTCAAGCTTGTCTGTTGGGAAACCTCGATCGTTCCCAGAAAGTTGTTTGAAAAGCCAAGCAACACCCAATTAATATAAGATGTCCAAACATAACTTCGACATGTCATCCTATCGTTTTGGAGCTAAGAAACAGCGAATTGAGACCGAGAACGAAGATAAGGAAACTAGCTCCCCCAGCCTCTTTAAGGGACCCTCCCTCACCATCGTTCGCCGGGAAATGTGCCTTTTCTGTTTTGATGTCCTTCACAAGCACTTATTTAACCAGGAGCCTCCGTCCCATCCAACTACGTTTCCGAATAATGCATAGTGAGCTGTTAATTGTTTCAACGTTTGTAGTCCCTTGTTTGTTACTTGGACATATGGCAAAGATCAGAGGCTTCGCGGTTGCATAGGGACATTTAAGGCGATGAATCTTCATAACGGTCTTCGAAAATATGCGATTACGAGGTTTTCAGTCACCATTCTCTTTACATCAATTCAGTGCTATGTGCGATAGCAGATTTTCTCCAATTTCACAACATGAATTCCCGCATCTTTCCTGTTCGGTCTCAATCCTAATCGATTTTGAAGACGGGCAGAATTACAAAGATTGGGAGGTGCGCTTTTGTTTATTTTATGGCGTCTTGTGTGCGTATGCTTTTCTGGTGAATGTTTACTGTGTTGCAATATTTCAGTTTTTGTAGTAACTGTTTCTATCCCAAAACAGTGGCGCCTCCAACGATCTAAAGTCATATTTTGCAAGCCTGAATTGCATAAAATCGACTTGAAGTACGTAATCTGCTTGGTTTAGACTCTTCGAGTTTATCGTTGTTCGTGATGTTGAGGACGAATATTCCGCTTGAACGGCACGCGCTTACAATGTTCACCGCGGCTGAAACGTCACAAGCATAGCTGTCTCTCAGTTTTACAGGAGTACTCATTAAAAGGAATAACGGCACGATAAACTTTGTTAGCCATTCCCGTGATTTCTTGAACTAAGCGGTGCTGAGACGCTAGCTGGAAAGATGCCTAGCGAAAATGGTTAGGCCATTTCACATTAGCTCACTGGTAGCATTTTGCAAAGTCAACGATTTCTTGCCTTAATGTTGCACTTACCATCACCAAATTTCCCCGTACTGAAGTTTAACGAGGATGGGCACTTGACCAATATCACATTGACGTATTTAATGCGCTGAGTCCGTAGTAGCCTTGTTAAGACTACTTTTAGGCTACCCGCGGGGCTATTCATCCGACCGGAACTTTAAGCGCTGCCATTCGACTGGGCGCATTGTAAGGATTTTGACGTTGTAACATCACATCCGTTCTAATAAATGTCCCAGGTCTCCTTGAGAACTAAGCACAGCTTGTAGTGGACGTTTGTTTTGAGCAGCCACCATGTGGCTTAAACAAGAGGAAGAGGGTGAGTGCCATGCTGTAGTTTGCTATAAAACTACCTATCTAAAGACACTTGTTTCGTGTTATGCTCTTCGGTGGTTAACTGAGGACTACAGGCCTATCACCCAGTGGCAGGTTGTCTCTTTACTGTTCTTACTTTGCTTATACTTACCGTCTATACATAGGAAGTTGCGTTATGTTTGTCAGCATGCATCAAATACTGATATTTCAGAAGAGGTCATCTTTAAACTTCCCAATAATAATAATCTTAAATGGTTCCCTCACACGGATGTCGTCGAGTTTTGTCCGGGTGCCGCTGCTTGCAACCAAGTTGACATTTATCGTTGTTTGTTTGGCCATCTCCTTAGTGACGTCTTAGACACATGAACTCCATCGTCTGCTTTTCACAAGTAGACGCATCGACCGTTATCTAGTTAGCTGTTCCATCCCCGAGTAACGAAGACTATCGTACCCAGCATATCCCTGTCTGCCCATATTCTTTAGTTCGCCATCAAGATGGTGACCCAGTCAAAGAGGCTACTAAGCTTAACGATCACCTTTGGTTCGAAAGAAAAGCGTAAACACGCTGGCTGATAGGCAGCCTTTTATGCCGTTAGCACCAGGTTTTCTCGGTCTGTTAAAGCTCCACCTTCGAGACGTGGCTCGTTACTCGAAGCCTCAGTTCCCTCCGGAGATACACATCAAGTGAATCGATCGTCCCCTAGCCTACAATGTCTAGAGAATAAGTTCCGCAATCGTTGAATAGAGATTCTTTGGTAATAGCCACACAAACGCTCTTTGTTGTCAGCTTAACTTCGCAGCAAGAACAAAAGATGCTTCCATTGATTACGGAGCATGTTACGCGCAAATTTTTTGCAACGTTTAACTTCCTGCTGGGATTGATCCCTGTTACCGTCAGAAAATCGTGGAAAACTACACATTCTTCAACCTCCAGCCTTTCTCCATTCGGGAGAGAGCTAACCAGTGGGCTAAGTTCCAGGGCAGCAGTTTTTGCAACATTCTATTGTAAACCGAATATATGAGAGAGGGTGGACTTGTGAATCAGTTGGATAACCCTCTTCGGTATGTGCTGCCAAAAAGACCAATATCATTGCTACACTGAAGGCCAGTGTCGGCAACGTTTTGTCCTGCCTGAACTCCAGCGCGGAATTTGTCGAAAAAAATGCATCAAGCGCATAAGTAAAGCACATCAGGCCTTTATAGGTCTTTACCGGGAGGACAGCTTAACCCGATAACCTAGCTACTGACTGCCGCAGGACATCGACGAGCGGCGAATATCGGACGGCCTTTAGCGAGTGAGAAACAATCTAAGCAGGTTCATGTCTGACGAATCAACAAACCCAAACTAGCGGCAACAGTGCCTCGAGGACTTGAGGTTTTCACCAGTCTGACTTGCATGTCTCGTGCCTACTTAGGGCCCAAATCCCGAATCAGGCTCTCTGAAAATCGAGATGCCAGAGGTCGAATTCCACTCGACCCTGTAGCACAGTGGCCCATGCGACCTCCGGTATATATGGTGTGGCGACCGCATCCTCACGCAATAGGCGAACTATGCATTGCCTGAGTTGGGCACACTCAATATTCAGAGAGCACGCGTACGACTAAGGGGGCAATTTACCAACACCTCTGTCGTCTCCGTTTTCGGGCAACTATCAGCTGCCGATCAGCACAATAAAGAGGCCACCCACTCGCAGCTGCGAGAACTGGCCGGACGTCTCTCCTGCCGTGCTCTGCTGATTGCCGCCGAGACTGGGAGAGCCGAACTGAGCCAGGCGACCCTTCAATTGCCTGCCGTCTTGGATGCTTTGAACTTGGTTCTCCACGCGATTGTGATGGAAGAATGCTGGGTCTTGCTGACAGAATGGGCTGATTCTCACAAGCATCTGCTACCTACATAATTACAACTATCTTCTGATCTGGTATGCAAACGACGATCCTACGGCCAACCAGATTGACTAAAGTCAAGATAATTAAGGGTTTCGGAGCTAGATTCTGATAAGAGACCGATGCGTAGCACCGAAA